GTTATTCATCAATCAGCCAGCATCTCATCTACCAACTAAGAGGGAATGTAAGAAACTGTACAAAACGGAAGTTTAGGTAGAAAGAAGAGTGATGAAAGGGAGCTATTAACAACATAAAGAAATGATCCCTTAGGGCCTCTGATATCTTTTCTGTGGGAGTGAGAACAAGAGGGTGTTTTAAATATTGTGTTCTATAGGCTTATAGCTTTTTTTAAACCTATTTTTATTTTGAAGACTTAAAAAAAAGATTTCATTTATTTATCTTTAGAGGGGAAGGGAAGGACAGAGGGAGAGAAATGTCAATGTATGGTTGCCTCTTGTGCGTCCCCTGCTGGGAACTGGCCTGCCACCCAGGCATGTGACCTGACTGGGAATGGAACCACGATCTATTGATTTGCAGGCCCATGCTCAATCCAATGAGCTATGCCAGCCAGGGCTGTGAAATTAATTTCTTGACTGAAAAATTCCCCATTTCAGCAATGGGGAATGGAGTTTATAATTATTCCATCTCACAGAAAAAATGTTTGTAGAAATTAAGTTAAGCAATGCTAACAATAGTCACTAAATTAAGCGTATATAGCATAAAATTATATAAATACATCTAATAGTTAACAAAGGCTTTCTATTGAGGGAATAAATGACAGCCCTTCTAATCTTGGCATGAAATTTCTCGTTGATTTGGCAAATGAAGCCAAGGATTGTAGTACCCAAAGCTCTACATCAAATTTACACAGTTGTCTGGAGAAACAATAGCAATTGTTGGAGAGAAAGAGCAATTGCCTTGGAGGTATCACAAGCTGGGCCCCACCACAAGTCCATGAATTGAAGTCCCAAAGTTCCTAGTAAGGGCAGTATTCTCAATCTTAGAGTTTGAGAAACTTTAACTCAAAGTTGGGTAAGGGGCTGGGAGGTGATAGAATTCCCTTGACTTCAAATCTAATCCCTTAGAAAAAGAGAACCAGTGGGCAAATTTCCATGCAGTCCAGACAAGTGTCCCAAAGGGAAATGAGGTACTCAGAGGAGGGAGTAACAGGGGGACAGTATATAATGAGCAGATGAAGGCAGAGGTAAATATCTCCTCTGCAGTAAACTCTCAACATGGGCATTTTCAGACAGACAGAACATACTTCTTTGTTGAGGAGACCTGACTCCTGTCCAGAGACCAATGTTTGACTTCTGAGCTTCAGTCTTCAGCATTAGCCATCCAGAAGAGGGGATTCAGACTTCTACAAGAACCCCTTCCTTTCAGAGACACTGTCGACTTGAGTCTCAGAGTGCAGGAGATGGTGGTGGAGAAGATCCAAAAAAAATGGATCCTAGAATTTCTACCAGCGGTAAGCTGAGAAATTAATTAGGCTAGCACAGAGCTATGAGATTACCATATCTATCTGCGTGGTAGGTATACTAATAAATATGTAATATATACATTCATTTCACATATTAAATTAGAGTACTTTTCTTAAAAATGTCGATACTTGGCATAGAATTTCAAAGCCAAGAAGAGCAAAGAAATGATGTCACAAAGATAATGAGAGAAGTGCCAGCCTCATCCACTGCTGGGCCATATGAACATAAGGGTGATGTAATAACCATGAAAGAAGTGCAGGAATGACAATTAAACCAGAGGTCAGTGGAGCAGTAATGATCTGGTCAGTGTATGGTCCCTTAAGTCTGAGGTGATTTCAGCACCCACACTGGCTGACTCTTCTTTCTGCACCTAGCTCTCTGCTGGGATCTTCACTCTTATTGCTTTCCCTCATTAACAGGACCTGGCCTTTTAAACTGTTCTTGCATTTATTGCATTGAATTCCAGATTCTTTTGATTTGTTCCAAACTAAGATATGCCTTTTACACTGTTATCCAGCATTTTTGCACACAGGTGTAGAAACACACACTCATACACAGACATGCAAGTACGAAGGGAACCATGAAATGATTATGTATGTACCCTCACTATGAGTGACACACTCTAATATTTTCTTTTGTGTCCTCTTGATTCATTGTATTTCATTCTCATGAACCATAGTCTGACACCTTAGTTTATGCTGATTTCAGAATATGGAGAAATATTCCTCCAGCATGTCCTCCTCACTTAGGTTGATACAGAGCACGTTCTTTCATTCATTCCATCACAGGATACATATTTATTCAGCTACATCCACTAAGTCTGGTGGGGGAGGAGGAATTTGAATAACATGCTTCATGCTTCAGGCACTCACTCTATAGCAACTAAGAAAGACATGAAAATAAATAAAAATCACACCAGTGGTGCTCTAACACCTCAGTTAGGGGTGTGGAAAGTGTCCTTTTCCTGCGCTAATATTAGGTAAAAGAAAAGGCTCAGAAAGAATCCAGTCTCTCTGAAAGGGGAGATGGAGTTTGGAGGATGGAGAGGGAGTGAACAGTTCCAAAGAGACCAGTGGGGAGACTCCAAGCAGAGGAGGATGAGTGAGTGCATCAAGGCCCTGGGCCTGAGGCTGTGGTGTCAGGTGCAGCAGAGAGACAAGCCCAATGTTTAGGAGATCAGTGTGGGTGAGGACAGGGCAGTATGAAGGGAAACTGGCAGAAAGGTCACAAAGACTTGAGCCTCATGTTTGAAGCTACAGAATTTTGGCCTCTGTCTCCACTAAGCAGTCACTAGGGGAGGCATTTAATTCAGAGTTCCATGGTCCACTTTGAAACATAGAAAATTCTCTCTGAGTCCATGTAAGCATTTGGCTAGAGGGGAGCCAGTCTGGTAGATGGGAGAGACAAAAAGGAACCAAAAATGTAGCTGTGGAATTGGGATCCGACATGTTTGAAAATAGTTGAGACATTTGAGAGGCAGAAGGAAATAAACAGCTTCATCTCATCCCAGTGGTCACTACTTACTTACCAACAGGAAGGGACTAAACCCAGCTCCTTTCATATAGTGTATTTATTATCTTTTCACAGTAGGCAGACAAATGCAGCAATGCCCGCTATCAGGTGAGATCATGAACAATTTTTATGTTGTGCATCTGAAAAGTTAATGTCATAAAGCAATGATACCTCATTTTTTAAAAAAGGGACCATAGGAAAAACTATGTAGGCTATGCCAAAAAATACAATCAAATAAAAAATAAAATCGTTCAGATATCCTAGGAGTTCAAATAGCTGATTCGTGGTAGATGAGTTGAAATTGGCCATGTAATCCAAAAGCCTGATGTATATTATCATTTAGAAACTGGTCTCCATTTCATCTTTAAGAAGCTCCACTATTGTCAATGTGTTTGCTGATACTGATTGTGTTTGTTTAATTTGCTTTATTTTAGTAGGATGTTTGATGTGTATGGCATCTCGACAATGTGAAATATCACTCCTTTCTCTTTCACAAATTGGTCTTTACTATTTCATCAGTTATTCTGGGCATGAAGGGGATAGAGCTAGGGTTGGAATGCTGCCAGAATGAATCAGGGAGTTTTGCCTCATCTCAGCCATCAAGTACCACCTGAACAATTAGATCTGTCCCCTTCACATGCACATTTTCCTGTTTTTAACCAATTTTTAAATTTTCTTTAAAAAAGGACACAAACTGGACGTATGAAAGTAGAGTCCCATGATTACTTATCTATTTGAGGTTTAACAGTTATAATTTGGATACTGTTTTTTTTATTGTTGTTCAAATACATTTGCCCCTTTTCTCCCCCTCATTATTCTCCCCAGCCCTAGCCACCCCAACCTCCCACCTTCAATCCTACCCCCACCATTGTCTTCCTTAAGAATCCTGAAACACCAGTGCAAAAGAACCTATGCACCCCAATGTTCATAGCAGCATGATTAAAATAGGCAGGTTCTAAAAACAGCCTATATGTCCATCCATAAATGAGTGGATAAAAAACCGTGTATACTATTTTCTCTGTTGATGAGAGTAAAAATAGTCTGATGTTGACATCATGACTTGCATCCTTCCTTTTCCAGTTACTGTGACAGGGTGAGAACAGCTTGGTGATAACAAGGCCCCAGGAAGTAGTCACTGTGTGTGTGTGTGTGTGTGTGTGTGTGTGTGTTGTAGGGCAGATTGACCTGAGCCCATATACTCCAAAATGTGTCCTTTAACAAACAGAAGCCAGAATATTAAACAACCCATGAAAATAAAAGGAGGATCTTTAACTATTTACAAGATTTGTTTAAACAACTTTAATAAAATGCGGGAAACTGCATGTGAGCAAAGGATTCTTCCTATTTCTGAGTTTCGGCAGCAGCAGGGAGGCCACCTCACTCCCCCTTATTCTCTGACAGCATTTCTCCTCTCTTTGCCCTTGCTCCTTCTACTCCCCCTGCTGCATCCTTTCTGAGTCCTGAATCTCTGAAACAAGCGTCATCTCTGGGCCTTTGCACTGACTTTTCCCCACACAACCCCCAATTTCCTCGTGTCTCACACTCTGTCTTCCTGGAAGTCCCTACTTGGGTGTCATCCTGTTTGCAGGGCTTCCTTGGGAGGCCAGTTTTTTTTTTTTAAAAGCCATCCACTCCCTTTTATACCTACTTTCTTTTTCTTCACCTGACACCATCTAACATCATGTATGATATAGATACATATTATATATTGCTTCACTATCATTATATTCTAAGGATTTTGTCACTCACCATCCTAAACTTTTACCCTAAAGTTTGGGATATCAATAAATATTCCTCAAGTGCATAAAAGTTCTTCTCATTAAAACTGTGTAACCATGACAACCTTGGGCAAAGGGACTGAAGAGGACAAATTCCTAATCAGAGATGTCATGGAAGGGGATGCCATAAATAACATGATACACACAAAAAATAGATATTATTTTGCTGCAAAATACAGTTGTAGTAATTGAACTATGCTAGTAAAATTTTCATTTGCATAAAAACTAATCATGACTTTTTTTTCCCTAAAGCCACCTCCACCAATGGTATGAGGCAATAATACCCAAATTTCAGAATTTCTTCTTCTGGGACTATCAGAAAAAACAGAACTGCAGCCTGTCCAATTTGGGCTGTTCCTCTCCATGCACCTGATCACTGTATTGGGAAACCTGCTCATGATCCTGGCCGTCAGCTCAGACCCCTACTTTCACACCCCCATGTACTTCTTCCTCTCTAACCTGTCCTTGGCTGACATCTGTTTCACCTCCACCACTCTCCCAAAGATGGTGATGAAAATCCAGATAAAGAGCAAAACCATCACCTATGCAGGATGCCCCACTCAGATATATTTTTCCCTACTCTTTGCATTGCTGGACAACTTCCTCCTGACTGTGATGGCCTATGATCAGTTGGTGGCCAACTGTCACCCTCTGCAGTGCATTGTCATCATGAATCCACAACTCTGTGGACTTCTGGTTCTGGTGTCCTGGACCTTGAGTGTTCTAGAATCCTTGCTACAGTGCTTGATGGTGTTGCAATTGTCCTTCTGTCCAGACTTGGAAATACCGAATTTTTTCTGTAATTTCAATCAGATGACCCAACTTGCATGTTCTGACAATGTTTTAAGTAACATTGTGATGTGTTATGTAACTGTGCTACTAGGTTGTGGTCCCCTGGTGGGGAACCTTTACTCTTCCTCTAAGATAGTGTCCTCCATACGAGCAATCCCATCAGCTCAGGGGAAGTATAAAGCATTTTCCACCTGTACATCGCACCTCTCAGTTGTCTCCTTATTTTATGGTACCAGCCTAGGAGTGTATCTCAGCTCTGCTGGTACCCACAGCTCACAGTCAAATGCAACAGCCCCACTGATGTATAGCGTGGTCACACCCATGCTGAACCCATTCACCTACAGCCTCAGGAACAAAGATATAAAGGGGGCTCTGAAAAGATTCTTTGTCTTGGTAGTTCCAAGACAAAGGGACAATCGTTCCAAGACAAAAGGGACAATCATTCCGAGGCCAAAAAAAAGTATCCTTGTCTTCTTGGCCCCAAATCTCAAAACCTTAAATTGTGAATCTTTAGTCAGATTTTGGGTTTTGAACTGGCTCCTTTTATTTCTGTTCTGGAATTTTCTTTGTGTTTTTTTTTTCAACTTCTTTGTATGATTTAACCCACCATTTTATTAAGCTTTTTACTTTGTTATGTATACAGTTTTCCCTTTGTCCATTTTCCAAAAATCAAAATGTTTTTTCCAACCCTGATCAGATATATTCAGAAGTGTTTCTTTACTTCTGTGGCAACAATGACATCTTTAGAATAATTTCTTCTCATGACATGCAGGGCTGGGAGAAGTAAGGCTTGCTTGAGTGTGGTTGGTAGGGTATGTGAATGCCTCCCACGAGATGGACAGCAATTTCAACATTTCACCTAAAATGTCATATGGTGTGTTTGAGTGTGATAGTGGTTTGTTACAAAACTATATGCTTATGATTTTGTAAGAAAAAAGGGGTGTTAGTGGTGCCAGACCATGAATATCATTGTAAGTAGTTACTTCTTTTTTTGTAGATAGAATAGTAATAAGTGGTATGACTCGTGTGAAAAAACTTCACTTGGCTACTAAGTCCTTTAGATAATTTCATTCCATAAAAATCTGAAACCTCCATTTTTACCATATGTCCCTCATTCTTTGTGCATTAGTACCTTAGTGGCTCTTCCTGAGGATGTAGACTTCAGCATTGTGCCCTGTAAGTCTCGGCCTGTTCACAGTGACACAGTAGGATAGGAAGGCCTGAGCACTGGCCTTGGGCTCTTCTACTAGTTGCTCGGACCACACTCATTGTTGTGAATGGACGAGCCCTTATGGTTCTTATTGTAATTCCAAGCACCATCATGAAAACTATGAAAACATAACATTTACTATACACAAGTCAAGCACATTTGAAAACTGCACAGGATGGGGGGATGTGTTTGCATGTGTGTGTATCTCTGTGTGTGAAAGAGATAGAGAGAGAGAGAGAGAAAGAGAGAGAGAGGGACAGAGAGAGAATGGACTTGTACTTAAGGGCTCTACCTATATTGGGTTCCAAGAGCAGGATGAGTAGGGTTTTGCAAAGTCTCTCTTTATTGGCAAATTCAAAACATAAGAGTGGAAATTAGGGTTAGGAAAGAAAAAGCATTGAAGGACAAATACCATATGATCTCACCTTTGACAGGAAGCTAAAGAATAAAACAAACAAGCAAACAGAATAAAAACAAAGACACTGAAATAGAGAACAAGTGGGCAGCGACCAGAGGGGAGAGAGAAGGGAATTTAAGGGGAAAAATGGGGAGGGATTTTGAGGAACAAGTATGAAAGACACAGAGATGAGGACTGGGGGGGGGAATGGGAGGGAGGGGGGAGACCGGGCAGGGGGGTGGGGTGGGATGGGAGAAATAGATAAAAAAAATGTACTTGAAAAGTAACTAAATAAAATTTAATTTAAAAAAAAAAGTACATGAAAATATTTTAAAAAAAGAAAAAGCAGCAGCATCCATGTGGTCAGTTATTTAGGTTACTCAGCATTTTTTAAAAGGGGAAGTTTATCACATGTTAATTCTTGTATAAAAATTACAAAACTTCTGTATATATTCCTGGGTGTAATTCCAAATAAACTTTGTCCTTGGATAGATTCATGGTCTAACTTACTCCCTTTTATCTTATTGAAAGTGCTCCTAATTAAAAATGAAAGTGCATATCTTTCAAGTTCCAAAACAAAATAAATAAATACATTAAATTCAAAATGAAAAGCAAACTCGGGGGATGGGGTTTAACACAACACCAGTGCTTATGCAGCAGCTGTATCATGCATCTGGCACTGTGATGACCTGAGATGAACGGCTTTCAAACAAAACCTCAGTCAGGTACTTATGCCACAAAACATGCTACTATGTTTACACCTAATTTCCAGGTTTATTGTCTCTTCAGCTGCAGGGCCAGAATACCTATCACAGTCTGGTACTGGCAAAAGAAGAGACCCATACAGCAATGAAACAGAATAGAGAACCCAGAAAGGAACCCAAGTCTCTATGGTCAATTAATATTCCACAAAGATGGCAAGATCATAAAATGGAGTAAAAACAGTTTCTTCAACAAGTGGTGTTGGGAGATCTGCACAGCTACATGCAAACAAATGAAATGCAACCGCCAACTAACACCGTACACAAAAATAAACTCAAAATAAATAAAATACTTAAATATGTTTTAACACCACAGCCCTGGCTGGTGTGGCTCAGTGGAGTAGGCACCAGACTGTGAACCAAGGGGTTGCTGGTTCAATTCCCAGTGAGGGAACATGCCTGTGTTGCAGGACAGGTCCCCAGTGGGGATGTGTGGAAGGCAACCACACATTCATGTTTATCTCCCTCTTTTTCTCCTGTCCTTCCTGTCTTTAACATAAATAATAATAAAGTGTTTTTCAAAAAGTTGTGACACCATAACAGTCCTAAAGGAGAATATAGGGAGGAAAATTTCAGGTATTCCTTGCGGCTATATTTTCACCAATATTTCCCCAGAGCAAGGAATAAAAGGAAAAATAAACAAATGGGACCATATCAAATTAAAAAGCTTCTGCACAGCTAAAGAAAACATCAGCAATTTTTATGCCATTTAATGCTTCTGCTCTCTTCATAAAATATTAATTGACCATAGAGATACTGGTTTCTTTCTCATATCTCTACGCTGTTCCATTGACTTTTGTGTCTTTTCTAATGCCAGTACCAGACTGTTCTGATTACCATGGCCTTGTAATATTTTGATGTCAGGTATTGTGATCCCTTACCCTTTGTTCTTATTTCTCAAACTTGCTGCAGTTGTTCGGGGTCATTTATGGTTTTGTATAAATTTTTAAATGGTTTTTTTATATCTGCGAAATGAGTGCCTTGCATTTCTTGGTACAAAGCAAAGAAACAAGGCCTAGATGAAAGAACAGAACAAAACTCCAGAAAAATAACTCAACAAAGTGGATACAAACAATCTACTAGATGCAGAGTTGAGAACACTGGGTATAAGGATGATCAATAGACTTAGGACCTCAACAGCATAAAAAAGATGCAGTCAGAAATGAAGAATCACTAACTGCAATAAAGGATGATTGACAGAAATCAACATTAATGTTGGTGAAGTCAAGAATCAGATCTGTGACTTGAAATATAAGGAACAAAAAATATCCAATCAGAACACCAAGGAGAAAAAAGAATCTAAAAAAATGAGGATAGCACAAGGAGCCTCTGGAATAACTTCAAGCACACCAATCTTCATATCTTATGTTAAAATTAGTCAATTAGCCAAACTATTCCATGTGCTACTTTAGTTCTTCCTTGCAATGAAAAGTTACATATTACAAGTTTCGGGGGATCATGATGTGGATTTCTTTGGAGGCTCTTCTGCCTACTATATAAAATGTTGTTCAATAATATACTCCATGATGTCACACAAGGGCCCTTATTTAAATGAATCAAATGAGGTATTTTTCAGAAGTATATTATATGATGTCATTAATGAATACTTATATAAAATAATTGAACAATGAATTTATATCAACTTCAGAATGAGTGAATATGCATTCTACATTCAAAATTACATGCAAAATGAGTTTTTGGTTCTGAAGACCTAAAACTACTTATACCTGACTCTAATACACATTCAACCTTACTATGAAGTATGGTCTGCAGACCGGCACCTGCACCACTGTCACTGCCTGGGAACTTATTTGATTCAAAGGACCTCTGGGCCCATCATGACCTGCATTTGAACTATAAGCCTGAGGGACTTACACACACCTTGAAGTTGGAGGAGTGGTGATCTACAATAGGCTTTGTCCCCTTCTCATGTTGACAATAGGGCTGGAATAATTATTTCTTTTGGATATTGTAGATGCTGAGTAGCCTCCCTCTAACAATTGCCAAATATCTCTAGGGGCAAAACCAAACTACTGACCTAGAGTTTGAAAACTGGAAGCAACCTGACAAGACCCATCTCTCACTTAGTTCATAACTTTGACCAAACTATAAACCCCTTAAAGGCCAAAATGAGAATGAAGTTCATAATAGTAATACCTTATAGAATGGACTTTTCAAAAAATTAAATCAGATGAAGTCTGGAAGTTACTAAGTTCAGTTAACATGGCATTAAACTATTGAAACATATCTCTTATAATTAATAGATATCTTGTAATATGTACTTAATGACAGCTCTTAATTTATGAAATATGTACAAAATCCCTAATTATTTCGACAAATGTGTCAGACTGTGAAAAAGAGTGTGGTGGTCAGGATTGCCTGTCAAAGAAACCCAGCTCCCTGGTCATTGAAGGGGGATAGTAATGCTCTGCAGACATCAGGGCTGTGTCCCCACCACAAATCAGTGCGGTAAGGGTCAACAAGACCTGTTTCTGATGGGTTCCTTAGTCTCAGACATTGGAGGAAATGCTAAGTCAGGGTTGGGATAAGGCAATAGGAGTTAGACCTCTGGGAAGCAGGTGACATCCAAGACAAAGAGTCATAAAAACTAAGTTCAATTGACTTCCAACCTGGTTTCTTGAGATCAAAAAATCATTAGAAAAAAATTCTTTGTGTTTATTCCAGAGGCCCAGAGGGAAACCACATGCTCAGAGGATGGAATAACACAAGGGAAATGTGCCTGACATGCAGATATAGAGAGAGCTGCAAATCTCTCCCCTGTGCAGTCCCCAAGCTTTTGCAACATTGGTGTACAGGACATGGTTGTCACTGCAATTCCTAAGTCTGGTTCAGGAGCTGATGCTTCTTTCCTTCCTGCTGCCTTCAGTGAGACAAAACTTCAGTCTCCATCATCCACCATCCAAGGAGCAATTCTGACTGGCACGCAGAGTCCTTCCTTTCAGAAAACCCATCCAGGGCAGTCTGAGAGGCTGGTAGGTACATCAGGAAAGGGTCAGAGAAGCTGGAACCTGAGAACTTTTACCTGAGGCACTGCAAACCTAATCAGCTGAGCCCCAAGACCAGAGATTACCATGTCTGTATTCTTGGTCAAGTAATCGATTTATAATAATTTATTGAATACATTAACAATGCTGTTTGAGTCTGCAACAGAGGGACCATGTTTGACAATTAAGTGATGTGAATGGAAGTCCAGTTGGAAGGCACTTTAGAATGAGTGAGATGTACAAAATTGTTGTGGTGAAATGAAAACATTCTTGAGGAGTGGTCTTATTCAGGGAGAAGTAATAAAGTATTAGGGGTGGAGAGCAGTGCAGTGAAGTGAGTGTTTGTAATAAATATCTAGGACACAGTGCATTTGAGCGTGTTGTGTGTTCATTGAAAAGATTCAACCAGTAGAGGTAGACAGCACCTGGCAGCAGCAGTTAGTGAGACAGACATTGTAGTATCTTCTCTCATGCTGCTTATTCACATAAGAAATATTTAATAAGTCTAAAAAGGAACACTAAATTATTTCATTTCAATGATTTCATATCTGGTGAGGCTGCATATATTTTAGAGTTTATTACTCAGTTACTTTCTCTGTTGGAATAGTTAATAAGAATTTCTATCCCACACTCAGTCTTTTCCCCAAGTCGACATTATTCTATTTTGTAATTGAGAAATTCTGTCATACACTTGAGGAATATAAATTGAGGACTGACCAACTTCTAGGCAATGAGCACATGGTGCTGAGAAACAAATTTTTTACAATTAAGTGATGAATTATTTAAGGTCACACTTTGTACTTTAAATCTTCCTAACACAAAGCCACCATAATTCTCCATGTTTACATTTATGCAATGAGGACTTCCTTGCACCAGCTCTTGGGGTGGCTAACATGAAAATCAATTTAAAATATCTTTTCTATTTCATGTGGGTTTTCAACATAAAATGCCCTTACCTAAGCAAACTGATGAATGAATTGAGAAGCTGAAACTCAGTTCCATCAGGACAGTTTATTGTTAGATTCTATTGCTGCTGTAAAATATGCCCACAGGAGCTGTTTAAAAGAAACAATTATGTGCTAGAACAAGTCCAGATATCAGAAGCCTGGAATGGCTCGCTGGCTAATCTCAAGGTGCCTGCAGGACTGAATTCCTCCTAGAGACTCTGAGGAGAATCTGTTTTCTCCTTATCTCCACTTTGTATTCTGACCACCTGCATTCCTTGGCTCTGGGGCCTTCCTCCTTCATGGAAGCCATCAGTGTCGAGTTTTCTCCTGGTCTCCCTCTCTGCTTCTAGGGGAGCACTGTGCTGACCTTAGTGCCCCTATATGATCCTGGTCATCTCCTACTTTAAATTCAGCTGATTAGCCCTGGCTGGTATGGTTCAGTGGATTGAGTGCCAGCCTGTGAGACAAAGGGTCACTGGTTCAATTCCCAATCAGGGCACAAGTCCTGGTTGCAAGACGGTCCCCAGTAGGAAGTGCAGGAAAAGTAACCACACACTGATGTTTCTCTTCCTCTCTTTCTCTCTCCCTTCCCCTCTGAAACTAAATAAATAAAACTTTTTTTTAAAAGTCAGCTGATTAACAGCCCTGTTCCATCTGCTGACCTCTTCCCCCTTGCTTTAAAAACAAATTTTATTCCAAGGTACTGGGGATTAGGATCTGAACATCTTTGGAGGCCTTTATTCTACCCACTACAAAGTCATTTTCAGAAGTGCTCTGAAATTTTGTCTCAGAGATTCAGAATTTATAGTGTCTGGAGGGAGTTTATACGCTACTCCTTCAAAACTACGGGTAAAAACACTACTTGGGTCATGAGACCTAACGCACTATACCTGACCCTAACACAGAACCACAGCCGTGCTACACAGAGTGCAGTCCACAGACCAGGACCTGCATCATCAACACTACCTGGGAGGTTGACAGAAAGGCAGAGTCTCTGAGCACAATAGGACCTGCTCAGTCAGATTCTGCATTTCTGGTAGGATCCCTGTTGGTTCATAGGCATATTGAAGTTGATTGAAGTGATTCTATAGAACAGGTTTTCTCAACTTCTCACTGTTGACTTTGGAGGCTGGAAAATAATTGGGGGGTG